CGGATAGGCGGACAGAAAAAATGTTTTGCCGATAACCAATTGCTGGGTATTAAGAATCTATAAGACATGAATTCTTACTACAAAACGTATGCGAGAAAGTAATGTAGTACATATAGTACCACAAAGTCCACTATTTAGGTGTCGAGCACCCACAAACCATATTTTCAATCGACAGTGTAACTTTCCGACGCCACTGACCGTATTTCTCCGTATACAGCAAAATAATGTACTTCAATTTTAAAGGTTGCATTGTGGCGTTATTAATTTTATTAAATCTATGCATGCAATTAAAAAAAATTCTTAAAAACTAGCGCTTTCGAATTGTATGGCAATATATTGAAGTATTCACTTACACAATCATAATTAACACAATTTAACTGTGGATCAAATGAACATATTTTAATTCGCAATAAATGCTAACACACATTTTTTGTAATTTTAAAATTTCTCAGTCGTAGTGAATCTACGAGATTGGACGCTGATAAAAATATTAATTTATAAATGTCTTATCAAAGAATTCTTTGAGAAAAGTAATTGTTCCTGATCTATTCGATATTTAACTTGAGGTAATGTTATCAACGATGTCACCTTATCGTACATTGCGCCTGATTCAAAATGGAGTGCACAGACATCAGTGCAAACATTGTACTCTTAACATGGCACGATTACAAACACGATTTGGACGATATTGTGTGAATTGCTACTTACATAATGGTTGTTTTGTAATGTTGAGACTGTCTGTGAGACTGGAATACGGCCAGAATTTGTCAAGGAACGATCAAGCGAAATCCTAGTCTTGAGCTTCCAGAGAGAGATAGTATGTTTATGAGTGTGTCTACCAAAAATAATTGATATTTGTCAAACGTCATAATAAAGTACATGTATCAGAAATTGAAAAGTGTTTGACTTGAGGTACGAGTTGTTTTTATAAAATCATAATTTGAAAATTCACTAAAATTAGCATATCAAAAATAACCATAAAATTGTTTACAGCTTTAAGGAATATATTTATTGCGGGAATTTAAATTTTCCAAGAAAATCTTACCAACAGCTAACCAACGTAAAGTTATGGTATTATAACTTCATTCAAACTTGCTCGAGAGTTGGAAAAAATAACCAGCGAAATAAGACGTGCAAGTTTTATGTTATTTATTGTCATTAAATTAACGCTCGTACAAATCGAGAGAATTTCATTCTGGTCGAAAGTGGTGTGACATCCGTGGCGGACGCTCTGCGCCCAGGCCAGGCACATCGCGTTGCGATTCCAGAGACTGTTGCAGCCGTTGATGCAATCGTCATGGACAACCACCGAATGACATTAGACGACATTGCAAAAGCTGTACACAATAGTCCTGGTGCAGCACGTCACTTAGTGCATGATATGCTCCAATTTTAAAAGGTGTCTGCAAGATGGGTGCCCCGACAACTGACCTCGGAATTGAAACGGCGGTGCCATCAAAACGAAGCTACGCGGAATAATATCAGCAGTTGTTCTGCTGCAACACGACAATGCACGTGCAACTGTTGCGAGAATAACAGATCTGTGATTTGAATACCTCTCACAACTACCTTACTCGCCTGATCTTACCCCGAGCGATTTCCACCTCTTTGGGCCACCCAAAGAAGCAATGGGCTGCAAGAAAATCCATTCGAATGACGAGGTACGTCACGCGGTGCAAGGGTGGTTTTCTGCGAGAATTTAGGCACTTCGGAAACTCTGGCAGATATGCATTGAGCGTGGGGGCGACTATGTTTAAAATTGATCCAGTTTTGTACCATGTGTGTACAAAAATAATATTTAGAAAAATAATTACGATTTTCATTTGATTCACCTACGGAAATAAAAAAAATGCAGCAAATGTCTAACAAAATTAAACGTAATAATTTTTCTCTTTTATGCTCCTACATTGAATTATTATTATTATGTTGCAGGTGATATTGATACCTATAGTATAAATTACTGAACTAGTGTTATCTAGGTATCTTCGATTTTTTATTGGCTTAAGATCTTTTCAATCTCGATCATCATCTTAGAAGTTTGAATTAAACAAATATAACTTGAAATAGGGTACAATAACAATATTCAAATTGCCTGATTTAAAGCTAGAATCAATTGGGTAGCTATAATAACTCAAACTTTATGGGATAAATTGTAATCATAGACATGTGAAGAGTATGGGAGGAGCAACTGCCCCTCAAATTAAAATCCGAATTTCTATCTATTTTCAAATATGTTTCATAAAAGTAACTATAAAGTATTTTCACATG